AGGTGGATAGAAAGGCTGTTTTCATATTGACTGGCTGCTTCATCTTTTCTGCAGAATGCATTCATATGATAGAGGCTACTAGATAAGCTGCAGGTGCGGAATTTATAGCAAGCGATGCTTTGGCTTGAAAAGCCTCACCACGATAAAAGTACTGAAATATGGGTAATAGTTTCGACTTTAGCATAGACTGTAAAATCATTCTTTTTTTTGTTTGTTCGTTCTAGTTTAGTTACTCCTGTGTTGACTAGCCGTCCTTTTTGAAGCTGTGCAGCTTTGGGAGTTGGGCTTCGACAAGGTTGGCGGACCTACTAAGTTGGTATCCGGAGCTCTATCGCGCCTCATGAGCTTGCAGTGTTGGCGGCCGCTGCCCTTCTGCGTCACTCCCACTCCCTCTCCTCGCAGTTCGGCTTCTTGTTACCTCAGTAGCTTGAATCTGTTGTTTATCGGTGATTTTGCTCCTAATAATCACTTTTTCGGCGGACAGGGCGGAAGTGGTGCAGTGACAAGTGGCGCGCTCACCACGCGAGCGGTCCGGGATCAAATCCTGGGTCGTGAGTCGCCCGGGCCAACCAAGCCTTCCATCCCTCCGGGGTCGGTTAATTGGTACCAGACTTGTCTGGGAGGATAAAAACACTGACTTGAACATCGGCTGGCCCCCGCAAGTCATTGTATAGGCCACATCGCATTCAAACGCCACTGCGAATGTACAAATGGAAGTAGAATGCGTGCCGCATCCCAAAAAGGGATTGATCAACGGCAAATGCTTTATCCTTTATCCTTTATCTTTTCATTGTGTTACTTGTTTTCGGTTTCCGATAATAAATCATAAATCATAAAATCGAAATGCCTCTTTGCCGGACTCACAGTACCACTGCAATCAGTTTCATGTGGTGCGTTAAAGTGTGTAGCGCGATCGACAAATCCTGGTCATGTCTTAGCTTTTGTCTTTTTGCTTTTTTGTCAGTGAGCACTGAGTGATGTGCGGCAACGCTGACGACGCGCTTTGGCCGAGCAGCCATAATCCTCATGTCCTGACACAATCCCTAATGCGCCTATTATACACACATTCGTCTAGGTCGATTCGTGTCCCAAAAATTAAGCATTTTTTAACAGTAAAATATGAGTGTGGGGCAGGAGTTAACGTGGGTTGGCTGTAATCGTGACCATTTAGGCCACTGATTCGATCGCGCATGTCTGGAAGGGTGACAGCATCGATGCCATCATGACCGAAATGGCCTCAGTAACTGCAAATGGACACAAAGCTATTCTCTCTAGCTGTTGGTAGGTTTGCACTGCTGCATACTCAATGCTTAATGCTCACTCGTCTAAAAGGTGTCTGTGAAATGAATACCGGTAAGAGTAGAGTCAGCCGTTAGAAAAGAATTGAAATCGGACCGCCCCACGCCCATCGAGGGGATTTTTATACCTATACGCCTACTACAAAGGCTGCTTCTATGGCTAATCTTAACCTCTCGAATTCCTCTGACACTACGACCCTCTGACCTACCACTATATTTCGCCCCTTAAGCATTCCTAGCGAAAGAAAAAGTCCCCTAGAGTCGAAGACGTGAAAGAGCGGTCACGCCCACTCTCCTCGATTTCAGCTCCTACCTCAGCCCTAGAGCCCGCGCAGCGCGCGCCGCTCGCACCCTGCCCGTTAGGTGTGTCTCCCTGTAAAGTGAAGTACAATGGTGATTATATTATATTCTATACAAACAACAACAACAAACAAAACCAAGTCAACAAGTGATTATAATTGTTGTAATTATTCCAATGTAAGCTAACATAACATAGTCAACGCGCAATAAAAAACTCAAACTCAGGATCGTTGTTACCATCCTATATACGTCAACCAAAAACTTTCACAAAACCCGAGGTTTTTCTCAAACGCTGACCCACTTTGCGCACAAACCTCGATAAGCTTTATGATTAAAATACAGGTTCAAACAAGGGCCAGGCCACATTAGCTACAAAATTTTTACAAATTTTGATTTACAGGTATTTGAACTACATAAAGTATGGAGCTGACTGGGGATACGTGGATAATTCCAACATGAGGCTCCGTGGTTTGTACTACGAATGCGAGCCGACGAACTTTGAAGGAACAGCTGCTCAGAAGGTGCTTTATTTTTTTTCGGCTAAAACTGGCCAAAAAGGAACCCTTGAAGACTGCAAACTTTCGTGCACGGTGCTCGACACAACACACAACAACATCCCACTCGTAATCGGTTTATTAAGTTTCGCTCTCCATACCTCAGCAGCACATCAAACAACCAGGCTGTCTGGGCTGAATACTCCAGTTCCGGGGCGGCCCTCATCTGCTCATCCTTAATCTGCGTACTATAGAGCAGTTCTTTGGGCTATCGAACACTACGGATAAGATAATAAGTGAACGACTCATTTCTTACTTTTTCTTTCGAGCGTACTTTGATAAGGACCGGTGGATGTCCTACATTCCACACTACCTGCCCACACATCCCATCCACTTTTCTGCACAGGTGATCCACCCTGGAGCTCCTGCACCCTTAGCCCTTTGCGGAGGTGTCCTTTCTCCTGGTCCAGGACCGTTCCCTTGGGTCATGGCAGGCGGAAATGTGAAAACGTTTCAGGGTTTCTCACCCATTACACCAATATTTATCAGAAGTCTACTTTAAATGAGTCGATTACGTGTCGTGAGCCCTCTAATCCTTATCTTGAGTATTGGAGAAAAAATGGAGTGGCCCCCCCGAACTGGAGTTTCACCGTTTAGAGCCTTTTATTTTCTCGTTGAGTAATATGAGCTATTCTGTAATTGCAAAGGCTTGGCGGAATTTGTGGCGGAAGTGGCCGACAAGAGTGGTAGGGGATCGTGTCCTTGGCTCGTACTTCGTCCATCGGGCTCGAGCCTGACCTAAATGGCGTGTGCTTCATGGCCCTTGCGTTTGAATATCACTCGCTTTTTTGGTTTCCGTAGCCTGCTTCCTCTCCTCGGTGCTCCGTCTATCTAAGCCAAAAGCTTCCATAGCGCTCACAACCAAGTGCAAATAAAAACACGGGCGCTTTCTCGCAAGGTCCGTCCTCTCTTTAAGGCTTAGTCCTGAGGTAAGCATCAAATTGAGGCGGTTTTAAGGACCGAGTTGAAGTAGTCCGTCGACCGTCGGGGACCCCATCCCCTCCCCAACATTCAGCATACGGCCCCAGCAGAAACGCCAAAAGGGCTGGTTTGCTTACTTCTTGCTGCTGGTACTTTGCTTATTGGGGCAGGCAGGCTAACGAATGAAAGCACCTTCCGTAGTAGCAAAAATGAGCTAAATATCACAATATTCGCTGCTTAAGCTGTCAGTTGAGAAAAAGAAAAAGAAACTGTTGAGAACGCCTCGAATAAGCCCTTCTTTTCCTGAGCGGTAGCAGAGTCTGAGAAACAAATGGATCAAGGTGCACTGAGAAGGGAAGACGGTAGACGAAGCGAAAGAGCATAGCGAGGAGAGACAACAGATACCGTACCGTTGGGCATGCATGGCTGCAGTCTTCAAGTTCCTAGCGTCATTTCCACGCGACACGTGTTGCGAATGTGGCTATATCTTGGGTTGTGAAGCCATAATCGTAACCCAATAATTTGGTCGCGGAATGTGCCTTTAAGTTCCATATTGGATCTTTGCTGCTCATACTTTGCTATCGTAGAATGCTACCCGCGTAACTGTCGCAGCAGCACCGTTTTTGATCATGATTAGAAGGATAGAGTGTTCGCCTCTTATAAAAAACTTGTGGGATGCGCCGTGCATCGTGCTCCCATTCAAAACCTCAGGAGCATATGAATGCGAATTGACCTACAGAGCGTCTTGCAAGGGTTACTTAAGGTAAAACTTATGCCGATGTTGTTATCACTTAGACGAACTTGGTGCCAATAAATCAGCAAGGAAGAAGTGGTACGCTTTGTTATCCCCTGGACGACGTACGAAGCGACCGTGCACATGAAAAGTGGCGCCCCTCGTCACTACACCACCTGGCCCCTCTGGATTAACGACACTCTTCGTTAATATTGACCCTTCCTTTTCAAAAACAGCAAAGCTTTCACTACCACTCATCGTAACAGTTTTACTTACTCCGCGGACAATGACCTCCTAAAATTTGTGGTCCCTCAAATGGAAACGCAAAAAAATTGGGGTAATGGTGTACGATGTTCTTTGCATGACGTGCTATGAGCTGCCCATGAATCAAATTTGTGCGTGCGTTCAGAATTGGCTCGCTGATTTGTGACCGAAAATATGGTTGCCTCGTATTAAATCATATTATAGTAGCGCATCCGAAGTTCTTCTAAAAAACCACATTGGTCAAACATGTCGGCTATTTATAGACGAGAAAATGCACGGCCAATCCAAGCAGCGGATGTGAACCGATTCTACCGATATTGCTTGTAAAAAAAAACCCGTTAAAAGGTTTGCCCTTGTTCGCTTGTACGTCGTGTGTCCAATACCAGCCAGCTAACGTACATTTCTGCATCAAATGCAAGTATAAAGGTAAGGTAAGGTACAAAACCAAGGCCCTGTACTCCTGATTCGAAGAGGTTCGCCATTTCACTGCGGGACGTTCGGCGAAGGTAGCGTGTAGCGGGAAAGTGGCGAAGAACAGCGGTCAGAGAGCTAGATCTGAGAGTCACCCAAGGCTTCCAAGCCTTTTATGTTTTCGGAAGCCCGAGAGCGTTTCAAGATAGTAGCGGGACAGACCAAAATTGATTCGGTACATCGCTGGTTCAGTGTAGGTCATTGAGATAATCCTCAGTCCAATGTGGCCGTTCGGACGAAAGGTCGAATACATGCCAAAATCCATCGAAGGTCTAGAATAACATTTTTATATATTCTGCGTAACGAGCTCACATGATACAAATGAACCGTGATTCCTTAAATTTCTCCACAGTCATATAAATTGTCAGGACAACCTGCTTTTTAAGGCACTGGGCCTCCTTCATCTGCTCGCCAAATGTTTTTTGCCTACAACATGAGCAACCTTGATTTTTCTCTACTGTTTCCCTTGTGCCAGAAAAACTTCCTAAAAATATGCTGAGTGCGATAGAATCTTTCAACATATTTTATTTTCATCTATTTATCAGTAAATTCAAGTACAGCTGACCTATAACAAAAGGCAACCGCACATAGTTGACAGCATAGAGAAAATAGAAAAAGTAAAACTAGAAAAATCTCAACCATAACTCGACGCTACACATTTATATGGTTGCAAATAGAATTAAAAACAAAACTCTCTGGAAACTCATGCTGGCCCATGTCAGGCCCATGTCAGACTTTTCGAAACCTCGGATTGCAATCACGCAAGTCGCGCCCGCGACCCAGCGGATTCCTCAAATTCGCAAGCTGGCATTTCATTTTTTCATTTTTTTTTTCTTTTTTTTTTGAAGCAATTCATTCTACCGCACGCCATAGTGAAGTAATTGCCCATGGTGGACCTAATTTCCATAGTGGCCTTTAGATTTCGCAACCATGTCATACCTGATTTCTCTCAGAAGCTCAACGTTTATCCTTCTATTATATAAAGCGCTAACTTTGTGTGTCGGTTTGTGTATCTGTATGTGTGTGTGTGCGTGTGTGTGTGTGTATGTATGTGTGTCCGTCCGCAAAATGAAGTGAGTGAGAAGGAAGCTCATGGGATAAACAAACCGCTAACAAATCGGGTAGCTTACAGGATTTGAGATATCAATGTTTTGTAGCAGGATAGTTGTGATAACACTCTTAGGGCTATATAAACACCTGCTTAGCACACTTCCGTTCATTCCACATGGTGCTGCAGTGGCAGCTGGAGGGCAGTGGAGAGAGGAAGGGAGGATGAGGAAGGGAAGCGAAAAATCTACCGTCATATCATGATTGTGTCCCTTCTACTGTATGAAACACCATTGTGTTGCATACGCGTCACTTCCAGGAGGTGTTGGTGTCACAGGAGGAAGGGACCATAGCGGAGGATAGAAAGCTTGCGCAGGAAAGGAAGGTCCCGGCGGTTGACGGGGGACTAATCTGGTAAAAAAAAATAATAGCTCTTATGATTCTGCGATAACGGGCTTCAAGCCATCCAAAAACTGTCACGTTTCTCTCTCTAGGTTTCAGGCATCCCACTACCTTAACTTTCCCAGGCAACGTGAAGAGGGAAAATGCTTAGAATGTTCAAAATCCTCATCGTTTAATTCCAGGCTCTCGTGCTCGGAGGAGAAGCAGCGATGTGGGGCGAATTCGTGGATGCCACTAATTTAATTCAAAGACTTTGGTGAGTGAAAGCAGCTTCCAGATAGCAGCAGAGGAAGAAAATGGGCACCATTCGCCCTCCACTGCCTCACCTGTAGGGTTTTGTATCTGATTTTTATCAAATTCACCGTATGCAACTTTAGCTGAAAATTTCTTGTTGGGGGATATGGGAGATAGTCGAACTCCAGAGCATGAAAAACACATTCATCTGGTCAAGGATGCCTGAGCGTGCACCACGAGCGCCTGTGGTCAGCTCCACTTTAGCAATAACCACACTAATTATCAGGTGGTCCAAAACTCAAAGCGTTTTAATGGATTTCGCTCCATTTCACTGATGAAGATTTTCAGCACCTGTACTTTCTCATTTAGGGCTCCGCTATCCTACATACCCCTCTGATTTATTAAGTATCGTCCTCCCCATCGTTGTTGGGCAATTTGTGTGCGGGAAAGGGGAGGAGGAGAGTGGGCGTGCAGGCTGCTAGAAACGGTTGGTGCGAACCGGTATAAATCCGGATTTTACCCCATGAATTTCTTTGGAGTTGTGAGCTGCCATTCTCACGCCGAGGTTATTTATGTAGTACCGGAAATGAGCTGGTTCATATGAAAGGGTGAAATAGTAACATTCACCGTGAATAGCTAAGCCTTAAAGAGGAGAGGCTGCGAAAAATACGAAAAAAGTTCCTCTCCGCCCACCCCCCCTCCCATCCTCCCCTTGGCATCTGTAAGTCATCGTAGATCACTGTCCAAACTATATACTAACGAGTTAGATTATTTATCTATTAGGTACCGGATATCTTAGTGTCGTTTTTTCACCGCGAGTTTCGGACCACCAATATTTTAATTCAAAATCCAGTGAGTGAAACGGCATATCCATCGAATGACTCATTAGCCCTTTCCCATTTACCAGTATGAGTGAAAACCTCGTACGATTAAAGTTAGGAATTTTTTGAGACGAAAAAGAGAGGTAGGTCGAATTTGACATCATCTGACAAATCATCCCTCTACCTTGCTAAACAGTTGGGCCTGGACAAAATATGTATACATTTAGTTAGAGTAGGGTCTGCACTGTTTGGTGGAAAATTTATTACTTACCAGCTCAACTGGACAATTTTTCCCGGAGTCTTTTTTGCCACATGGGGTCAAAAACGCACCCTTTTTGAGCACACGTGAGTAGCAGATGAGCACATTTATTAGAATTTCTTGGTCAATCAACTTCGTTAGAGCGTCTGTGCACCATCGATCAGTAACTGCTAGGGTGTCCTACCATTCCAGCACAAGACTGGTGCAGCCCCGTTTTGACTGATTTAGCTAGGACCACCTTTTTGGCGACGGTTGCGGGCATCCCTTCAAAGACTTTACTGTCTTTTAAGAAAACTGTGAAAAACCGATGAGCATTTTAAATGGTAGTATTCCCTCCATCAAATGCAAATGCTGGTTTGGTGGGCGGAGGTTACAGCTCTCAGCAAGAATTTTGATGCATTTGGTACACACATGCGAATTTGCACACTGGACCCAGGAATTTTCAGAAAAAAAGTATAAAAATTGGGGGAAAGTTAAATTGTGAACCAACAATAGAAGACGGTAAGCAACATATTTCGCAATATTAATGAGCAAAAACTGCCTTCTGGGATATTGATTTTCCATAGTAATCGGCCCCAAAACTTCCTGAACTCAGAAAAGCGACACTAAGATATCCGGTACCTAATAGAAGTTTGAACAGTTTGCCCTAGTTTTAATCAGAGTGTATGTCCCGCTTGAGCGCGTTCCATCCTTTCCACGGTACCCCGCCACCGCTAATGTCTATCCTAAGGTTGAGAGAGAATGTTGCATCATGGGAACTTCCCGCTTGGATCCCGAGTTAACTACCCTCCCCCCTGCCAGGGCATCCCGATGCTTGAAGGAGATGCCGTTGAGGGCTCAGGCTGTCGGATCTAGAAACGCCAAAGTATGGCTTTTCCCATATTACGCAACCTGTCTCCCAAGCGTAGGATAGTGACAAACCGTTGGGGTCAACGTGCGCACAGGATATGTAACGGCCCCATATTTTGTCGTGATTTTAGAGTGCCCTGTGTGCAGTGCCTGCATTTCCGCTACACTCACCCCTCCCGCTCCCTTGAACAATAAATCTCTTTCTCAATTTGCTATACGAAGTTATTACGTGTTATCTATATTTCTTCCCAATAGTTATTGTCGAAACAATTCAAAACCGATTTTTCCAGATCTATCAATACCTAACCCTAGCCAACAGTCGATACATTCCTTTTCAGGCCTCGAGCATCCGCTGTAGCTGAACGTTTATGGTCTGATCCCGCGGCCACACAGTCTGCTGACGCAGCATGGCCTCGATTGCACGAGTTCAGATGCCGAATGATGAATCGCGGATTCCCTGTGGAGCCACCGAACAATCCGGATTACTGCCCATACGAGTGGGACCCGAATTATAATGAAATCTAGGAATTGGTACTTCAGTGGATCGTTTTGAATAAAATTATGATAATCTCGAGGTTTACTTGACTTATTTGACTCCCTCAACTTTCTTTGAATATATGCTTTAGCTTTCGAGACTCTTCCTCTATACAACAAGTATTTCCGGACGCCCTTCTCCCGGAAGCACAGTCAACCGTCGCGTTCGCATTTTACGAAAACTTTGCGATCCCCCCCCCACCACCACCATGAGACTTAGGAGGCTCTTTCAATACGACCACCTCCCTCCCTACCCCGACCGCCACCCTCTCATCATGGCTGTTTCTATAGCATTTGATTCTGAGACCAGTCGACACAGTCCAACTCCGCCCATTCCCTCCAAAACAACCGTCGAGCGAAGGGGGGAGGGGTAAATAAACCTATCTCAGTAACAACCCACTCATTCTCAATTTCCCCATAATAGTTAACTCTTCTCAACTCCCAAAATGCGACCCCCCCTTTCCGAAATCACAAATGCGACCCCCTCGTTCGAATAGTGCGAACGGACGGTTGACCTTGCCCGGAACTAGGGGATATTACTAATGGGGAACAATACGTTGCAATGAATTCTCCCATAATTTGCAATTCCCTTTGTTTTCTGACGGCATTTCATCGATGAGCCCAATAGACTTCCCGGGAACGCATTCAACTTCCCATGGAACTTTGAATTCCCAGATATATCTATAGAGCTCCGATCGCTGATTACAAATAGGAAAAATAAACTGCAAAATGAATCTGCCAAGTAACTTGCGAGTAGGGTCAATCGTGCGTTCGCACTATTCGAACAAGTGGGTCGCATTTGTGGTTTTGGGAAGGGTGCACGGGGAGGAGGGGGGTCGCATTCAGGGGATGAATGGGATAGTAATTGGATAGTAGTTTGTTGAGTGAATGGCGATGGCAACGTGATATAGATTGGTTAGGTGGGAGGAGAGAAATGCGCCGTTTCATTACATTATACCCCCCCCCTTGATGATCTTTTTGGAGGGAAAGTGGGCGAGTTGGGCTGTGTCGACTGGTCTCAGAATCAAATACTATAGAAACAGCCATGATGGCGAGGGTGGTGGTCGGGGTAGGGAGAAGGGTGGTCGTATTATGGGAGCCCCTGAGTCTCATGCTAGTGCTAGCCTCATGCTAGTGGGGATCGCATCAGACCCCCTAAAAGAGGAGGGGTCGCTAAATTTTTGAAAAAGTGCGACCGTCGCGGTTGACCCTGCCTGTGAGCCATCTGTGGCTGGAAGTAAGGCAGTCCATAGGACTGTGATAGCCTCCTTGCGTTCGGAGTCGCCGTGAAATAGTGGTACTGCTCTGGTAATTGCACTTAACAGAAGAAGAGCCCATGACCTCCCGGCTGGAGAGTCGGAGACTATCGCTACCCCAAGGCGCCTCTGAATGCCCAGCGCTAGAACGGTTCCTATGTAAGACTTACCCTACTTTACTCTAAGCCTTGGCAGGTTCATTTTGCAGTTTTAGTTTCCACATTTGTAGTTAGCGTTCGAAGCTCTATCGATATATCTAGGTATTAATTCAAAAGTCCCACGGAAATTTGAATGCCTGCCCTGTTATTCCCCTCCTAGGAACCATTAGAATTCTAAGAAAAACTACAAACTTATAGATGCATCCAATTATGCCTTTATGGGAAGCGCACCCCATTGGGTCAAATGAATTACAAAACTTAAGGAAAAGGAGTTTTTGGCTCCAGGGACCAGAAGAGACTTTCAAGAATAGAGAATATCTCCCTTTCCCTGCGTATGCGTTTTCTTCCTGCCAGAGCCGTACCCTTCTATTGAGCTCGCTTCGATTTGGATGTTTGTGACGACATTGCGTTTGTTGATGAGGATCGGAGTTGAGGAAGAAGATTCACCGAAATGTTAGCGAAGTGAATTAGGCACGTGAGAAGCGGTAACGGATTAGCTCGCCAACGAAAACACTTCAATGAAGGAGAGTTTGGATGTCTTCCGAGAAACAAATTGTTTCCTCATTCTGCTTGCTGCTCAGTTCCACCGCAACCCGAAGTCGACAAGCGCGCGGAGCCTTTCTGTGAGATGCGCCGTGCACACGACTCCGTTCCGTTCAGGGAGGCGCTGAATCCATATCAAATGAGATTAATGTGAAAATCAGCCAACTTTCACATCATCACTCTCACGTTCAGGCCTCTGAAGACGACGATTCAGTCGAAACGTTAGGCCATTAATAAAAGTTCCACCGAACAACCTCGTAAGGCACAAGAAAATTTATTAAACTTACAACTGACATGCCGAGGTTACAAGAAGAGAAGTTGGAGAATTTTTCACATCACTATTTTCTTCCCATCGAGAGACATTTGAAGAGAAGAAGTAGCTGTTTTTGATAACAGTCACACACGAAATTGAAAGAAAAAGCTTATTTCAACGAAATAAGAAAAAATAAATGATGTGGTTGAGGTTCTATTACCACGACGTCGTATAGGGCTTCTATTCTTTGGATCCTGTTTTTTTAGCTGAGCTAACATATTAAGGTGGTATTCTAGGAACTGACAAATATCACGTTCTCCAAAATTATCCGCCATTGGTTCTGGTTAATTCTTCTATAACACTTTTTTGATTCCTTATGGTTCAAATTGGAACAGCTCACAAATCTCTCAAACATCTTGTGTATAAACATTCCAACGCTGTTTCACTTTGACCTTAAAGGGAGCTAGAATGATTGTTGATATCTACGTAGTTTTTAAGTGAGGATACATCTCCTGAGGTTAAAGGGGAAGCTTCTGTATAGCCCATTCGCAGGTCCATGTCGGTGCATTAAAGTGAGATACTCAAGGAAGGAGATCTCATGATTGTGGAGCGCGTTTTCCGAACGAGTTCTTCCGTGTTAGTTGTAGATACTCTAGGGTGGATACGTACGAAACCATGATCCATTTTAGCTGAGTGGCCGTGCGAGGACAAAAAATGGCCCAAGGTTCAATTCTCGTTCCGTTGCTGGAATCTTTGCATTTCGGCTTGGAGTCGCCTATTTACGATGACTATCGAAGAATGCCAGCCCCCCTGTAAACGTCATGATTTTTTTTTACGCAATCCTGCAAATGTTCGGTCAGCTAGGTTTTCACGCGAAATTTGCTAAAAACCACCCACTCCCAGCGAATTTCTTTTCGTTCCCTTTTTGGCTTTCAAAGCCTGCTCAGGGAGAATGAATATCGGTTCTACGTTTCACGTCAGCGCCTCTACAGCATGCGAAAAACCGTTCTAAAAAACGCCCCGTAACTTGAAAAACATTCCTTATAAGGCGCGTTTACTTTCTTTTCGAAATGCATCACAAAACGCATCTTCATTCAATATGGCGCTGATTGTGAGGTGGTTTAGTGGCAGGAGGCGCTGGTTTCTACTAGCACGGTCTAACAAGGGGGTCTTTCAGGACATGGAGCGTTTTTTTTTTCAAAATGGTTTTCTGATGTTGTAGAGGCTCATGTGAGGAACACAGAACCATGGTCCATTTTTCCTGAACGCCCCAGGAATGTCAAAACAGCGGGGAAGAAATGGTCCAAAGTTCGATCCTCCGTGATGACAAATTTTTGCAATTTATGTTGGCGCCTCCAAATTGCCGCAAAACACGACAATGACATCTATTCTCGACGAATTTGGCGGCAATCTGGGGGCGCCAAACTATATTGCAAAAATTAGTCATCACCGGGGATCGAACTCTGGACCATTTCTTCACCACTGTTTTGACATTCCTGGAGGCGTTCAGGAAAATGGATCATGGTTCTGTGTTCCTCGCATGAGCCCCTACAACATGCAGAAAACCATTTCGAAAAGCGCTCCATGTCCTGAAAGACCTTCCTTGTAAGCGTCAAATCTCGGATTGAATCCCGTTTATATCCACAAGGTCTTTCACCCCTTCAGGGGGTCGATCCTACCGTTGGTACTTTCCGAGAAAAATTTTACGAACCCCCCTCCAAATCAAATTTCACGACCCCCTTCACCATCCTCGCCGTCATGATGATAGTATTAACGACCCTACGCGCCCTGAACTCACCCAACCAATTATCCACATTCTCTCACGCAACACTCCAGTTTCACATGTGAATTCATGAGGCTAGAGCGAGTACGACCCCTCCCCACCCCTACAAACTCAACAAAATACGACCCCTCCCCCGTTGGTACTTGTCGCAACATAGGATTGACCCTGCTTCAGGGTTGCTTCTTTGATGCCGGCCTT